AAAAAAAAAAAAGGCAAAAATATATATATATTATGTATATGTATATATGTATATGTACATATACGCGTTTGATAAACGAGTTTCTCGTAGTTTTGCATGATCCCCGTGTAAAAGTGTTTCTCCAATTTACTAATTGCTGTACATTACATACGTTGGAACAACTCTTATATCTAAATATTCATTTATAACGCTAAACTTCCATCAGATTCACCGGACGAAAATTGTAATGGTAAATTCTCATCGTTGATTTTAATTATGTAGTTAATATGATGATAGAATTAAACTAAAAAAATTATTTAGCAATTTTGTTGTAACACAGTGGTAGAATAATATTTAATCTTTTTTTTTTTTTTTTTTTAGTTATGGTATTTTGCAATTCAGTGAAATTAGATTCTATGAGAATTGTAGAACAGAACCAAGTATTACAAGTATTCTTTACGGTTTTGTGTACCCATATCTATGTTGGTTTAAATGACACCGCGGTATTTAGGTCACCTGCTCGATCGCACACGATTAATCTCGATATTGGATTTCTCTGAGTATCTTATTGTTAGTGTAAAGGGAAATATCACTGACGTACGATATTCCATTAATTTCTGGTCAACCATTTGTCAATGATTAAGGCAAATATCATCAGTAATAATGCAAAAAAAAAAAGAGAAAGATAAATCTTCTGCCATAGAAAAATCTCTAAAAAGTAATTTGACTGATAAAAAATTTTTGAACAAAATATTTGATTTAAAAAAAATCAAAAGATGGATTTTATATTGTATACAAATGGTATCCCATTTCAAATTTCTCAAAAGATTCGAAACGTATGAAGAAACAAAAGTTGCAATAACCTTGAAAAAGTCGGCAAAGATGAATGTTGAATTTTTAAATTGGAACCTACGTTTTTTGCTATATACTATTATAGCTAACATTGAGACATTTTCAAAACACTACCTACATATGTATATTTTTTACATAAGCTGAGATTCAAGCTCTTAAAATTGACGTGCCGCCAGCATTAGTGTATTGAAGCAGGCAAGAGAGAGAGAGAGAGAGAGAGAGAGGTTGAATTACGATACGTATATCTCTCCTCTGTTGTTTGTAAATACTTGGTTTATTTTGATCTATTATTAGTCGTACGAATTGCGAAAGCTAAGCAAAACAGTTGCCTTATGCAACTTTCGTTGGTGCGTAACTTTCAATTCGTTCACCTTGGTGATCTTTAATTATTAAAACTTTTATTAATTAAACGACGCCAATATTATTTTCCGAAGGAAAATCGTGAATAAGACTATTTACTTAGAACTAAAGTGAAGATATTTTTATGAAGGCGGCACGTCGTCACGAACAGCGATATCCAGACAAAAGACATCTATCTAAGTAAAAGGTTGACAATTTGAATATTTTCTTAGCTCAACTGTGACATACAATCGGCTCTTTTCAGAGCCACTATGGCGTACGAAGTCCGATCGTGCAATCTTGTTGTCTCGTGTACGTCGGATAATACTAATGCCGGCGGCAGATCAACTTTAATCATAATAACAAAACAAATTATTATTATTATATGTTTATATAATTATTATAATAGCAAAACAAAATAGTAAACATATAAAAAAAATATTCAACGATTTCAAAGGGAGATTAAAAATGGGGCACTTTGAGATATTTGTAAATGGGATTTTTTTTTTTAAGTGAAGCAGGTAGGTCCGACAAATGTACAGTTTTTACGAACATTAGATTATCTGGAAAATTTTCAAATGGGCCAGATAAACAAATTATCGATTCTTGATATATTGTTGATATTTTCGCTAAAATAAAATTTTTGATTAATCTATTAGTATATATATAGTACATATATTATATAGTATATATTTCAAGTCGTAATAATTATATGTCAATGTTTGAAAATTGATTATTTTTATATTGAATAAATTATATTGATTCATTTGATAAATATATTCTAAAGTTAATTACTAAATTCTTAAGTATCAGAAAAAATAAAACATAGATCATTTATGCAATCAATAATTGCAAAAAAAATACATAAGGAAGACAATTGATGCTATAGATTATTATTGCATTATGCAAATAGATCCACTATTGATCTATTATTTTCATATCATTATTCTTTATTAATTTTATAATTTATCGAAGTTTCATGCATAATTTAGTTGAAAATTAACATTAGAATAAATGTATGCATTATCTTTTTTTTGCAATTTTTAAATTTATGAATAAATATGATACATACGAATCACAGATGTTTGAGCTATTTCATGATATTTTGGCTTTCTCTAGTGCGATAATTAATAATTTCTAAATGAAACTCATTAAGAAAATCAATACATCATAGATTAACTACAATTTAAAATTTAAAATCAACAAAGTCACGTCTTAAGTCATTTTCATCAAGGTAGTTAAATTCATCTCCAAAAAATGCTACTATCACATATTGCATAAACACACATAAATTATAAATCTGTTTTCCCTCGTTAAATTCCTCGAACGGAGTTCTTGGAATTTACCAACTCCACGGATCAAAGTAATGGAACCACTAGAACGTATTTGCGTTCCACCTGCAAAAGTTTAGACACATTCCAAGCTGGCGAGTAACCCAGCTGCAAAAATTTTCCTCTGGGTATAAATATATATTCCAGAAGTAAGACAGATACCCATTCAAATTTTCAAATATTCGAGAGAGATCATCATGCAACAGATGAAGACCTCAAACAAGGAATCTCCAATTAATAAGGAACTTCGAGGAGCAGACTATACCGGTATAAATCATCGTTTTTCATTATACTACTTGATGATTTCCTCCTCCCAGCAATTTCGTTGATACGCTTCCCATTTTCTCGTGTCGATGATTGTACGGACCATCGAAAGTTTCGGCCTTTAAATTCGACTAAGCAAGATGCGATAGAATATCCAAATCGAGACTCGAATCGGTACAGCCAATCGTGCCACAGATACAATCTCACTCTTGTCATCATAATCGTCATCATTGCGAGGTCCACTAGAATTTGACATACCAGTCGGATCCCACATTCGCATATAGTTCTACTAGTATTAGGATATTACAATATTCCAATACTACTTCTCTTTAAGAGAAATCGATCATTATTTCAAAAATTTTTATTTAAATCACAAATGACTATCATTTGCATCATTAAGAATCTAAGATAGCCCCCAAAATATATATTCAGATGAAACTTTTGTAGTCTGGCTACTACAGTATCATCTGGCTGAATTTTCAAAACTATTCATTTTTGTCAAAAATAATCATTTTCGTTTTTAATAGCCCTGAAACAAATTAGAAAGAAAAATTACACTTCAGCCAAAGTTTCTTTTTCAATCGAGCTCGATAATTGCTTTTAAAAATTCATAGTGCATAAATATTCAGTCTACCTGTGAAGTACCTATAAAAATATAAGTTTAGGGAAGAAGAAAAACACTAATTACAATTAAAACTTCGCATGAAGGTTTATTTCTTTAGACAACTTCAGCAGGTCTTTGTCCACCCACGACTTTATGAGTTTTTGACAGATAGTCTGCAAATTCTTGATATGGAGCTTTTCTTAAAGCCTGATCGTGCCAGAGATCTGGTGTCAAATACGCGTAGGTCTTAGCAATAGCTGCATAGGTGGCCTTTGCGAAATTGCCAAGAGTACACGTGGATCCTCTAGCCGATGTATAGCAATCCTCTATACCAGCCATCTGCAATAGTTTCTTCGGCACAGGCGCTGATACAATACCTGTACCCCTTGGTGCTGGAATTAGACGCACCTGAACTGATCCACATTTGCCAGTGACTTTGCAGGGCACAGTATGAGGATCACCGATTTTGTTTCCCCAATAACCACGTCGTACTGGTACGACTGAAAGCTTAGCCAAAATGATAGCACCACGGATAGCAGTGGCTACTTCTTTGGAACATTTCACACCTAGACCAATATGGCCCTTATAGTCACCAATAGCTACAAAAGCCTATAAAATAAGTACTATTAATGAGATCTCTATTGAATGTTGAGATATTTAAATATAACATTGAACTTCAGATAAATGTAATGTCACCTTGAAACGAGTACGCTGCCCAGCCCTAGTCTGCTTCTGTACTGGCATGATTTTCAATACTTCGTCTTTTAATTCAACTCCAAGGAATTTGTCAATAATTTCATATTCTTTAATAGGCAAAGAGAAAAGATAGATATGTTCCAAAGATTCGATCTTTCCATCTCTGACAAGACGTCCAAGTTTAGTCACGGGAACCCATTCTTTGCTGTCTTCCTTGCCACGTCCACGACCACGGCCTCGTCCTCTGCCTCCACGCCCTCTACCTCTTGGGCCACCACGATCACCTCCCCCACGAGAACCAAATCCTCCACGAAAACCTCCACGCGCGGCTGGAGCACTGTCCGCCATTCTGTTTGAAATTGACAAAAAAATGAAATTTGCAAATTAGTAAATGATAAAATAAATAATATTAATTATATAGTTGTAGTAGTATTGTAGTATAGTAGTATAGTATAATAGTAGTTTAGTTGTACATCCTCAACACAAATTTTGATGATCATTAAATATTATTGTAGAAATCAACATTCTGAACAATGTTTTTCTCTCATGATAATGTCGAACTCTCTTAGTTTTCTAGATATTCACAAAAAACTGTTGGTATCACTACAATGATATTTTATTTATACTTAAGTGTCCATGGAAGCGTATACATTAGTATAGGTTGCCAGCCATCCTAAGACAATCAAATAAAATCAACCCAAACCTAACTCTCATTTTTTGTTTAATAATAATAGTGTATATTTTAATATATAAACAGATTACTGAGAATCATTACTGTTGTGCTTTCAAAGCGCCATTTTTGTACAGAGTGGAATGAAATTACTTGTCACGACCACCACAGCATGATTCTACACTTTTGGGTAAGTAAAGATCCATAAAAAAAAAAAAACTTGAAATTATTAAAAATGAAATCATACATATTCTTTTATCTACTAATCAATGTAGCTTGAAATTCTCTGTAAAAATGTATTAATCTACTTTAGTAGTTGAAAACTACTAGTTCAGAAGATATTTTGATTTTAATTGTGTGAAATCTATCATATAAAAGATAAAAAAAAAAAATAGAGACAGTATTCTTGTGTTCACATTGTCCTCATTAATATCAAGACATTTATACTGCATCTGAGTATATCTGATTTCTAGAAAAGTAAATTGTAAATAAGAAAAGTAAAAGTAAAAATAAATATAAACATCATTTTCTATGAAAACGGTTTATTTTCAATCCGTGGTTCCTCAAAGACTTTTGTTTTTTTGATGAATAGAATACAATACAATAACAAAATTTGACCTTAAAATAGGTTTACAACGGCTGACAACCCATATTAACTTAGACACAAGTACAGGCAGAATATCATTGTAAACTAAAAGATTCCGAAAATCCCTGTCATAGGAAAAAATTATTCAAAATATTGATTTCTATAATATATTTAAGAATCATCAAAAATTGTGCAACTAAAAGACGTGCAACTATATAATAACGAACAATTTAATATTATGTTTAATAGAATTCTTTCGATTTGCCTGATGTTCAAAAAGAAATGGATTAAATATTATTTAATAATTAACTTTATGTCCATAATATTATTTAATAATTAATTTTGTGTCCATAAAACAGGGTTAAGCATACTACGCTAACCTCAAAACACGTGACCGACAACAAACATATATACTTTAAATTTTCCACAAAATTTAATTTACTAGTAAATATTTATTGAAATCGTAAGATTTTTTATATTCGCAAAAATACAGAAAAAAATATGTTTTATAGAGAATTGAATAATGAAATTGAAAAAAATATTCATAGCCTGCGTACCTTACTCTTTTCTTCTAAGTATGGTTACGGAAGAAGAATCCATCACTTCTTCCGAACTCGTAAAATTGAGCAAGTCGATATATCTCGATTAGATATTGCATCGAATATTGCAATAAATCATGAACTACTAATATTTCCGTTTAACATATCCTTTAATTAACATCTTATTTTCCTTTGTTTTTTCTTGATTTTCTTTTTTAATTTTTATTTTTTATAAATTTGAAATTTAAGCAAAAATTTTTTTTTCATTTCTCATCACAAATTCAATGAAATGAAATTCATTTCTGATCTAATATTATTGACGCAGGAGAAAAGATAGATTCACAGACAAGATCATCTATAATGAAATACAAAATAAATAATATATTTATTGTTTTTTAACAATCGATGTTTCAGAACAAGTGTCATGAAATTCTATATGATGTCATGCCTGTCCTATTCTTAGTTAATGATTACTACTGACTAACTTGGATAGATCAGACATCCAATAACAGATGCAGGTATACCTTATGATCTTTGTCTGTGTTCAATGCTTTTTTATGCTCCATCATTGACTAATTGTAAATAGCACAACAAGCTATATTTCGTCCAATGCTTCTTCGTGTTTCATGTTTAGGAGTCACCTAACCGTGTCACATCTTACTATATTGAATTAGGCAGGTTATTAAGCACTGCATTAAAATGTTGAATAATGTTACATCTGCGCCAAAAATTATTTATTAAATTAAACATGAACGCTTTTTTATTTACATGACTATTCACAACTGTCGACGATTTCAACTTAATCTTTGATTCTAATATAATTATTTTTACATAAATTCTACATAATTTAGTATATGTTGAAAATAAAATTAAAACAGAGTTGAAAATAAAATTAAAATTATAAATAAAAAACCAACAGTGTGAATGTAATTTTAGTTTGCAAAAAATATAGAAATTACAACATTTATCATTGTCTTGAATTAATAAAGGTTATAGAACAACAAAAACTTAAAATTACCAAATTATTAATTACTGTAATAGGAAAACCGTTCGAAGTACATAGTAATAAAGGCTGTCACCTATTCCACATTACTGACATAAAAATCAGAATGACTTAATAATTTTTTAAAGAATTTAGTTTTAATTTCAATTATTACTGACGTTATATACTCGCTTTATATCAGTTCTATACATCTTTCGTAAATATTGTCTATTAACTACATTTGAAAAGCTCGAAGTGAAGTCTATAAACCTGAATAACGTGGATTTTAAAATAATCCTTGAAATCTTATATATGTGGAAATATTATAAAAACGTAATATCTACAAGGAACAAGGAATTTATTTTAATTTTTGAAAATAGTAGTGAAAAATAATCAAATGGAGTACAGTGGAAGGATGAATAATAAAACAACTTTGAATTCTTTCTTAAGGATTCTTTCTCAAGGTTTAAATTCAATGAATTTAAAAAGATATACAATATAATTTACAATTAAATTTAATTCTTTAGTATAATTATTAATTATTATTTAGGCGCACAAATTAAGCCCGGTACAGACGAGCCTTGTCTGCCACAAATTGTCAATAGTAGTGTTTTAAAAAGAAGCACAAAGTTCTTTTTCTCACAAAAAGAAGACTAAGAGAATTTTATATTTCTGTTCTTCCAAAAGAATCACCGCTCGTTTGTACTTGGCGTAACGCTAGCTGCTAGTTGCTTATTCTTGTCTTACATGTACAATTTTACTTGATATAGTTTTCCAACCTGTCATTGTTAAATGTAGAGTAAAACCAGTGATTTTTTTTCCTGATTGGTACTTCAAACACAAAGTCCCATTTAATAATTCAGTCTATCGTATCTTTAGTCAATGATTATACATTAAAATATAAAATATAAAAAATTTTATAAAATTAATATTTAATGTTCTCTAATGTTCTTGTAACAAAACATTATATTTGGTAAAATTAAAAAAAGATAATAGATATTGAATGAACATCTGTACATATATAAATGTTTCTTTATGTTTATATTTAATTTATTTTTAATGTAATGTGTTATTATACTTAATATATAATATTCATTGTTAAGCAGAAGATTAAATTCTGATACGAGGATTACATGCGTAATTTTGTAGATTTTCGAACGAATTTTATATTTCTAACCTTAAATTTTAATTTAAGGTTATTAAAAGAAAGTTAAACATAAAATATAAATAAATATAAATTTTATTATATGTCATTATAATTCAATATAAGAAGAACGCCTTTAATGATTTTTCAAAGTTGAATAAATATTTAATTTGATTTATTTGTTTTTGATAAACATGATGTAATTGAAACTACACAACAATTCAATGACTATGTTTTTTTAATACGATTTTGTTTCTGTGATATTATCATGAATAATTTAAAAGATGCACACTGGTTTCCTTTAACGTCACAGGGAAACATTTATTCAATGACTAAATTATGCTCCATCAATGGTTCTAATAAAGTATTGGTGGCTTCTTTGAAAAGAAAAATATATTCTTGTGAATATCATTTGATGCCAAATCTACATTTAAGACCATTGGTTAAAGAACTACTTTTTACATATATTCCCAGTTTGTAATTTTAAACATTAGCACATTATGTAAAAACAATGTTTTCTATATTCAATTAAAAATTCTTACTTATTTAATTAGGTGGTGCAGAAATTATTTCCATTGATGCTTACAATAAGTCTGATAGTGGTGATGGATTTGTAATAGGAATAACTATCTTAAAAGCAAGCACAGATACATCTGTAGAAAGATATTTAAATATATACACAGAAGGTGCTATAGACGGTGAGGGAGATGAAGGAAGTTCGATTGAAGCTATAGCACAAAATTGTCTAATGGTGGAATTAGCATATACACCATATCATTTATATCATACCATATTACCTCAACAAAATGCTCCTAATGAGGTAATTTTTTCATATTAATAATGATTTTTCTAACTTTGCTTAAGAATATAAAATTTAAATAAATAATAAGTAATGGTAAATGCTATTTTATAAATTAGTAGCAAAATTATAACTTTTCCTAAGATTTTAGGTCGTTTGGTTACTTTCTGGCAGTGATTATAAAATACACATGATCAGAGAAGATAAGTCAAATCATAGTTACAGTGAATCATCCATTGAAAAGTATTTTCCAGAATTACATGATATCCAAGGAATTGCAATATGGATTAATATTTACTACTATGATAATTATAATTGGTATAATATATATTAAACAGATCTTTATGTATTACATTATAGCAACTAATATTCAATTTTAATTTGTTTAGGAGATTGACAGTAACCGGTTGTGAATGTGGTTTAGTCAATATAGCTATAACTAATATTTCAGAATTAAAGATTTGCCAAAGTTGGAAATTGAGATATGATAGACCTATTTCCAATGTATCCATTTTTTCACTTAAAAATAATATTGAGAAACCTTGTTTCCTTAACTCTAATAGTAAGTTTTATTACACATATTAAAGTATATCCTAAAGAAAACTTGATTATAAATTAAAACTGATAAGTATTTTCATTTGTTACAGATTGTAAATCTTTTTTAAATGATCAAGAAACAAAGCTAAATGTTCTTGTTGTAAATACAAATAATGCGGTTGTCTTTATGTAAGTTAATATTGTATTATATATAGTCAAAAACAATCATATATTTTCGTTGATTAGGGATGTTCTAAATAACGGGATGGATGAAGATATAACATTAAATGGTAGTGAAACATCTGATTGCATTTTATGTTCCTGTATTGCTGACATAAATATGGATGGTCAAAATGAAATACTCTTAGGAACCTATGGTCAAGAAGTACTTATTTTTTGTTTCATAAACGACACATGGGAATTGATCATTAGAAAATTGTTTGACGCTCCTGTACATTCTATATGTTATATGGATATTACTCATGATGGAATGAAAGAACTCATTGTCCTTACGCAACGAGGAGTACATATATTGCAGGTTGTAATTTTTATGTAATTGAAATACATTATTTGTATTAATGAAATTATACTGTTAATGTAATGTATAACAAAATCTGAAATACACATAAATTACAGCATAACATCATGGATGTCAAAGATAAATGGAAAAAACGATATAAAAAAATTTTTAAAGAAAATAGGATAGTATAATCTTCAAACTGCCATTTAAAAAGACTCAATTGAAGCTTAGTCTTCAGGGATTAAGAAGAGAGTACAAGAAATGATAGAGTATAAATAAAATATTTATATAATATGGTTGATATATTATATATACATATATACAAGTGAATATGTATATTAAAAAAGATGAAAGAAAATTTATTTTTATTATTATTACAATTGTAAAATCAAATAATTTTAATAAATACAGTTAAAAAAATAGTTGTTTCTATTGTATATATTTATATTTAAATTAAATTTAATTTTCAACATAATAAATACCAACATCAAATTATAAGTTTTATTTCAATTTGTATGAATTATAAATTTAAAAAAAATGAGATTTTTTTTGTATCAAACTCTTGTATATTAACAGTCGATACACAATTTCGCTGACTTTTAATTAGTAAGTTTCACGATGCACCGTATCTACACTTCACAGAATCAATGACGTGACAGGCAGTTCAAAATAGTATTGCACGTGCTTGAGATAGAGGTTGTCATATGTGCATATTTTACGTTGTATCCACGCTTTCAACACTGATGATCGATATATTATATGACATCTTGTTGAATATTACGAAAGCATTTGATATCGTGTATCATTCTTTTTCCGACGTGAATTAGAATGACTAGTAAAAAAGGACACACCCTCCGAATTGAATCTGAAATCGATAAAAACCGCGAGGAAGGAAATTGGAAAAAGGTTATAGAATTGGCAGAACACCTGAAAATACAGTACCCTAGCAATGGTAAATATTTCTCTTTTTTCATTCATTTAACTTACAATACTTGTGTATTTTAAGAATTTTTTTTTTTAAAGGAAAGATTTGATCAAGTTCTATAGGATCACGTCACGAGTTTCGTAATCTGTTTATGTAAAAAAAAGTCGTTAAGTCATGTCACGAATCGTAAGGATTCTATATGAGCAAAGGTCAAATATGTATGTGAAATGTTATTTGACATTAAGTTTTTTTCATTCAATCATTTTTTGAAATTTGAGGTCACGAGCGAGTTAATAAACACATCTGATTTTTACTAATGTCAATAAGATGATCAATAAGAATTATGTACATGTCCCATATAAATTTATCTTTAATTCTGAAAAGGTTCTATCTTTTTCATGAACTTTTTTTTATTGTCAAAATTTTAAATAATAAACTCTCTTGAGATTTTATATTAGTTACTATTAAAAAATAAATATTTATATTTATATTTAATAAATATTTCATATTTATAAATATTACAACATTGTCAAGATAGTTTGATTTCATGCTAAAATATATAAACTAGAAGTATATGTGTAAATCTACATACTGATAAATGCTTTTGATTTTAGAATGTTTAGCAAATTTTTTATGTGGAGAAGGAAGATTAGAAAGTTTTTTAGAACAAACTCCACCTATAGATGCTAACATTGGGAAAGCTAGAAATGGGTTACAAGAAACTAGAAAGTACTTAATTCTTGCAGCAAATGAAAAGGATAAACAGGTAATTATAATTTTAGTTAACTATTTTTAAGTGAATGAAAGATAAAAATTTAATTATTTTAAAATTTTGTACGAGTAATTATTAAGTAACATTTTAAATTATAGGCTTTGGTTGTACTGGATGCACATTTGTTACTTGGTAAATTACATTATGCAATGGGAATGTATGAAGAAGCTCTCAAACATTATCAACAAGCTGAATTGCACACACTTACAGAAAAACCATTACCTTGTAGAAGTCTGCGTGTTGTTGCAGAGTCATATGCAATTAAAGGTTTGCATCAATTAGCTTCTAAATTATTTAATACGTTGCTAGTATGTACTAGTGCATTATTATTTCTAATATTACATATAATAGCTTGCCATTTAAATAAAGGAATGATTTATATCTATCATAGTTTGGTGTCATATATTTCACTTAACAAATTTGTTTTTTAATACTTCTGTACTTTAGACCATTAAATTTATGCTGAATTGAATAGTGTTGCACTTAATGTTCTAACAAAATTTATAGGATTGCATTTTTTTTTCTTATTGGTAGTCTAAACTTTCTTAAGTATATACTTTCTCATCAGTCCTAAGGTAATACCCAATCCAAATCTAGTAGTTACACGAGCAATGATTTTTGGAAACATTTGTAATCTGTTTAATATCACAACTAATATACAACTTAGAGAAAGAAAGATTGTTTACTTTAAACACAGCGAAACATTTATCCTGCCGAAGACTGCGCATTTTTGCTGAGTCATACGCAATTGAAGGTTTGTACTTTGCTTCATTTTTATTTCTCTTATTTGCCATGTGTAAGTGTATTAGCTATTTATTAAAGTGTATGCTTTACCACTATACTTCTTAAAATGTTTGAAATATGTATTGTCTTGTCAATACCAGCTTCATGCTTAATTGTATCAATTTCAACAATCCAAAAAAAGGAAAGATGTTATATTAATGGTAACTATGTTTCCTTAACTCTATTCAGATTAATTGTTTACTTGCATTTTTTTAATGTTACGTTGCATGATAAATATTCGATGTTTTTTATCCATTAATTATATTTTATATCATACCTTTCAATTAATTTTATAACATACAAAAAGATATTGCATGTTTAATCGATAATATTTACATAATAACTGCACTTTAGTCGAATAACTTATTTTTTAAAAAAAATTGAAACATAATTATTTAGATTATTTAATCTTTGTAAATAATTTGTTTGATGTATTTGTGTTTCATAAACTTTGTAATAAATGTAATTAAAATATTGTAAAATACATCTGCTTAAAATAGTACTTTTATTTTTATAAATATATTATTTCTATGCTTAAAAATATATACCTTAATATCAAAAATATATTAACGTTCATTATTATTTCATACTAATTTTTAGATAATAGTTCCTTTTAATAAATTATTTTATTTATAACAGGTCTTTGTCTAGAAAAGTTACCACCAAATTCCAAATCAAAATATAAAATAGTAGAATGGCAAGAGCAGATCGTCAAATGTTATGAAATTGCTGGAGATTTAACATTGGTTTATTTACAAGAACAAGACAAACTTGCAATGCAACATCAAAATGGCACGTCTACCATAAATAGTAACAATGCAGGTGATGATCCTTTTTAACATATTCTCTTTCATCACATAATGCTAATTGATATTTAATTATTACATAAATAATGAGTGTATGAATAATTAACAGTAGGAATATTCACTGAATAAAAAATAATAATGCCAAGCATTAAAATAAATTTATTTTGTAAGAATATTCCATTAATAATGTTTATTTACGTTTTTTCAGGTGATAATATAGGATTTGTTGGTGGAATGTGACAAAACTAGAAATTTGGGTTTTGTAGTTAATACCTTAATATCATTTGATCAACAGGTACATATTCCTCTCAGTCTTCGTATTGTTCTACAAAACATATTGGACCAATTTTGGAAACAGCACTACAAAGGGCACCCATATTGTATATTCAAACTGGTAATATTCAAGGTGCAATAAATCGTTACAGGTAATTAATTGTTTCTATTTATTAAAAATATAAAGAAGAAAATGATAACAAGAAGATGACAGCAATAACAAATACTGCTATTATTTATAATGCAATTTAGAAATAATATTTAAGAAATTAAATAAACATTTTCTATTTATGAAATTCAATAACTTATAAGGGAAATTTTATCTGCTGTGGAGTCTACAACCACTCAAAGTCTTAGAGTTACTTTAACAAGACAATTGGCAGAAGTATTAGTTCGAGGAATTAGTGGTGCGGAATATAAAGCTCCAGAAGCATCAAATGATTCTGCAGGTAATACTATTGATAAAATGGTTGTTATTATAATTTAAAGATAAAAATAAAATATTAAATCATTATACTATCTTTCTTAGATTCACCTTGGAAGCCGAAGAGATATTTAGGTCCTAATATGTTTGTGCCAAGAAATGAATATGAAGAAACAATTCTATTATTATTAATAAGTGAAGCTATGGCGGTCAGAGATGCTGTGCTTAGTCAATCTCCAGAATTTAAAGATGCAAGAATACATGCTTTTGAAAATGCTACTGCAGTATATGATCTCCTCACAGTAGTTGTTGTGAGATGGAGTCAAGTAGATTTGTTATATGAGGTAATTATATTAAAATCAAATAAACTGTTCAGGATTAAGATATAATTTAATGTTATATTTTCGTAGTCATTTGAAAGAGCAATGAAATTTTCTCATGAAGAAGCTCATGTATGGACTCAGTGTGCATTATGTTTAATTAGTATGGGCAGATATATGCATGCATATAGGGTTTTAAAAGTGGTAACTAGATTATCTCCACAGAAAGTAATGCCCTGTCTTTTAGCCGCGAGATTATGTTATGAACAATTAAATATGGTAAGATTTATATTATAGTTTTATATACAAATTGCATAAAGTAATATATTGAAAACATGTTTGAATAAACAGATAAAAGAAGGTATCGAATGGAGTCAAAAAGCACTTCAAAGAGAAACATCAAATTCTCAAGGAATGCAATCAAGATGTCATCTTTATATTGGTATTGGTCATAGTATTCTTGCTACAAATACTATAGTAAAAATGGATAAAACTTACCATACTAAAACAGCGTTGGAATGTTTTCAAAAGTATGCACAATTAAGTATAAATTAAAAAATAAATTATATATTATAATATTATATATTTATTTAATAGGGCGCAACAGTGTGATCCAAATGATCATTTGGCAGAATACTATTTAGCTCATGAATATGCAATTAACAGACAAATTAACGACGCAATGGTTCATGTTAAAATTGCGTTAAATCTTCGGGCAGAACACATTCCATCCTTGCATTTATTGATATTACTACTATCAGCTCATAAACAATATTCAGAAGCATTGCATTTAATAAACAGTGTATTAGAAGAATATCCAGATAATTTAAATTTTCTTTATGTAAAAGCGCATCTTGAATTACGAAGTATCGGTGGTGAACAAGCATTGTTTACCATAAGACATATGCTTTTACTCTGGAAAAATTTGTATGAAGATCAGACTAATACTAATTGTAATGAACAACACAGTGAGAAACGCAGTGAAACCAGAAGTGTTTTTCAGTTGTATGCTTCTGAAATGTCTGATAAAGATTCCAGTATGTATTAATACTCTTTCTAATTTGAAATTTTTAAAATTAAATTATTTTATAAAAAATTTCGAATGATCAAAATTTTAAATAGGTTCTCTACATGCACAATCATTGGCTGCTTCAAGAGTAGAACAAGCCTTATCTGAAGTTGCATCATCACTTAGCTCTTTTACTCCGAAGCCAGGACCACAAAGAGCATGGCTATTGCAATTACAAGTTTGGTTATTACTTACTGAAGTATATTTAGTTCTGGATCAACCAAATGGTGCTGTTCTTTCTTTACAAGAAGCGACGAATATTTTTCCACTAAGTCACCATATTATGTATACAGTAAGCTCGAATAACATTATCAAACAAAAAATCAAAGCTAATTAATTTATTTTTTATTTTATATAACTTTGTCGTCAAAATATAATATGTACATAGAAGTTATTTTTCATTTTAGCGAGGTTTACTTCATGAGTATAAATTGGAATACATGGAAGCAAAGCAATGTTATCAAAATGCCGTTTCAATTAATCCATCACATATTAAAAGTTTACAACATTTGGTAATGTTTATTGTAATTTATTAAATAATAAGTATTATTAGATGAGATAGTATATATTTATTTGAAGATTATTCTCATTATTAGGGGTTAATTTATCATTATTTGGGGAGTCAAAGGTTAGCTGAAAAAACTTTACGCGATGCTGCAAAAATTGATCCGAATTCTCATCAAACATGGTATAAGAATATTCATTTATTTCTATTTAAAAGTGTGATGATGCGATTGTGAATAATTCATATGTTACAAAATTTTAATCAAATAAAATTCTATTTTACAGGTATAACTTAGGAAAGGTATTAGAATCTTTAGGTGAAGTAGAAGCAGCAAGTGATTGTATGGCTACAGCATTGGAAGTGGAAACTACGAATCCGATATTACCAATTCTTTCGATACCAGTTACATTTGAATGATTTAGAATTTTTATTTAAATAAGATTAAAAACGGATAATAATTTATCGTACAACATTGGCATTTGTTTGCCCTTGTGGCAATAGTACCTGCTTATCTCTAAACTGTTGCATTATTGTACAAATAAATGAATTCTTTTAAAAAGTATTAAAATTATGCAAATAATTTATCAATAATCAATGTAAAAAAACTAATAAAGAAATAATTATAAGAGAATTATTATTCTTTAATAATTCCTTTAAATATTTGATATCAAACATTTTCTATAAATAAAGTTTTGATATTTTATATTTGTATAAAATAACAATTAACATTAGAAATGGATTCACAAATATTTATGTTTTATAGCTATATTTATATATTACAGCTTTATCTACCTATTTATGTATTATAGCTGTATCTCTATTTTTATCTTATGAGATTATACCTTAACGCTACATATTTAATATATAATTTAAATAATATTAAAACTAAAGCTAAAATGATTACAATATAATAAGTGTTTAAAACATTAGTAAAAGGAAAAATTATTCTGTAAGATTATGTTTTGTTAAGTTATGAATCAATTTATTTTTTATTAAAATTACTGAGATTAATGTTTGCTTTATCTTTCGTTATGTCATAAATAAATCAGATAAAATTTTACAGTTCAGATTATTTTCTTCTATTTATACTATGACTGAAGATAAGATATTTTTCATAATAGTGTTCAATAAATTTATTGAACATCTTTCAAGTTACAGTTGAATGTATGCCCTTATAATTTATTATGGTAGAAATATTTTTACAATGAATATTGATTGATTAAAATAAATTCTAGAATTTTTCTACCAATATTTATAGTATAATATCTTTTGAATAAATTTCTTGTTTAATATTGTAAAGAAATTCAATAATCGTACGTGTCGATTTAATACACAGTAATATTTATTTATAAATATGTTTTAAAGTTTTTAATTTTTTAATATTCTTTCTAATAACGTACATTTTCTATTTGCTTCAACTATTTTGTCATAATTTATAATTTTTTAAAAATTTCAATAAACAAATGGCATAATATTATGAAGAAACAATTCATAGTATAATGTAACATAATGTAACATAAAGTTTGCGTAATTTCTCGATAAAATTACTAAATTATAGTTTATTAAAAATCTAACGTTTACACATTGGAAAGTAAAGATACTGTTATAAAATAAGAAATTTAGAAAAATATACACTATGGTATAATATTTCTATTTAAATTAAATTCAAATATTTAGTTATTTACAATATAAATATTACAAATATTATTTTATAATTAACATTATTTTCATAGTTATAATAATATCACTATCGATAATAATTTGTATAATAATATCACTAATAAAGTTATAATAATTTGTACAGCAATATCACTAATCAAGTTGGCGGAGTTAAAAATAACGCTTAACAAAGTATTGAATATTATTAACTGATATTAACTTGACTAGCAACCCAGACGATTTAACAATAATTAAATTTCTTTAAATACAATAAAAAATTAGCATCTTACGCTGCACCCAGATGCATATTCAAATCTAAAGCGATTGAAAGTTCGCATCACGTTGTAAATTGAACACGGAATGGTCTTTAATATTACATTTTCTGTTAAATTAACACCAATTAGGCGCTACATCGATGAACGTAAGGTATAAAATTAACATTCTTTGCCGTGACACCCATTAAATTCCCTTCTTTACCGTTAATCGTGAACGCCGTTGTGCGCTTCTCTATCCCCCGTTCCGTCTCTTTTTAACGAGATTACGAGTCTCCCTGTCCTATTCTATCGCGTGTCGCATTGCGCGTTTATTCGTGCGCAGGCCCAGTGCAACCTAGCCACAGAACTTTTTCGAAAACCTCGCTTAACAGTAGCTAGGCCCTTTGAGGAACTGCGTCATGAATCCATATTTTCTGTCTCCTATCAGGTCGAACATCGATTTTTCCCGGTAACGATTCCCAAAAACAGTATGTTCCGTAGTAACACTGTTAGCCCGCGGAATGTCGTACCGCGTCACGTTTAGCGCATCACGCATCTGCAGAGCTTACGGCTATGCGTAATACAATCGACCAACTATTATCATCTTACTCTTTTTTTCTTTTCGTGTTGGTCGAACGACAGCTATAAAGGGTTACGGGTCTCCACTGCATTGAAACTACAAAGATATAGATACACATTGGATGTGCAAAGGGCGCAACTATTAGGTTAGGAATTTTATCATATTTTTTTTTTTAAACGCACGACATATTTAAATGTAACGAAAGGAAACGAAACATGCTACGGAGGATAATACTGAATAACGTAAATTAAATCAATAATTTTCTTCACATAATTACTTCATTAAATTTGATCGACGAAAGCATTTCTTTTTTATATTTAAAAAAATTCTTTTCTACATTCTGCATTTAATTCTTCCTGCAACTATCTCATTTCGTACGTATTGCACTTTTACAAGATATGAAGCAATAGCTGAAAAGAAGATGTAGAAAATATTCCTTTTTTTTTTTTTTCGATGGTTATCACTTTAAAAAGGATAGGAATTACGTGCTTGATTATAATAAATTTTGCGTAATATTAAAATGTAAATGGGATGAGCAAAGATTTTATCTAAACATTTTGTTGCGTACATTTGCATAATCAAAGTCATATTTGTATTTTCTACTGATAATCAAGTTTCATGTTTGTATTTTCTACTTCCACGTCTTCGTATGATTTCTTTTGGCAACTCCAAGGTGACCTTGGTATACTTTCAAAAAAAATGGTGCGGAGGAACCGTCACTTCCGTTAGGTAGCTAAGTACATATACTACGTTCTTTTTTGTCGCACGCATGCTCATCGCTTATTATTGATATCGCGAACATCGTGCGACGGCGTTACCGCATATCGGTCACGGCCACCAGCGAAACTGTTAATTATCTATTAGATACGAACGAAGTTTATGAATATCAATACTTAAACGGCATCATAATTTTAAACGAATTAGGAGCTCCAGTGGAAATAGGCGGACAAGTCATTTACACGAGCCGATGAAAAGAAAGCTCGCACTATGTTAGATCGCATCGTTAGATTATCGCATCATGTTGCAGCTTCTTCATTATTGTAATCAATACTAAACAGTGAAGACTTACACTATGCAACAATTGAACAGATATTGCGCGGTATTATTTTTGTCAATATAAACGATATATATATTTATCTTTAATCAACTTGTTCTACCATTAACTTATTTAATTAATTAATCTTCAATTATTATCAATTTACATTAAAGGATTGATGCCTACATATTATACTATTATAAAGTATATGCGATTCATCACTATTCTATTCGTATCTAACTTGTTACTCGTCAGATAAAGTTCAGCACATTTGCAATCGTATTTTTCAATCTTGAAATATATATTTTCCTATCACTGCACTTTCCAAATGAAAACGATAAACAATAAGATAGATACGCTTGTAATTGATATATGACTGTATAATTAAAATATATATATATGTTGTAATCTATGTAGCCTATGAAAAACGTATTCACTTTGAAATTAATTTAAAATCTATTAATAATATTAGAAGGTTGTTCTTTGATTTCTTCAATATAAATACAATTATTTTTAAAATGCTCAACAAAGTTTGAATGTTTTAAACCGGAAGTATTATAACATATAACTTGGACATGGAAAATGTATAGCATTCAAATGATTGAATAATAGATTATTTACAAGACCATTGGTTCGATAAAGGATTATACGAATTCTTGAATGAACTCAGTTCTTTCAGATAAAAGGATCACAAACCTATGCAGTGATAGAAATGATTAGAAATTTTCTAATTTAACTGGGTGTTATTTTAATTACCTGATCTTAGAAAATTTAATTTTCAGCTAAGTACCTAATTAGTCGACGAATTAGGTACACAGTAAAAAAAAAAAAAAAAAAAAAAAAAAAATAAAAAAGAAATCGAAAAAGTCGGAAATCACGTGAACCTATTTAATTGAAGGTGCAACAAAAGCAATTAGCTTATTGGACATTTCCTTTTTTCCCTCATATACGGAATCGTGGATTCGTCATTCACATTTTTTTTCTTGCGCGTCATACGATGATTCCACTCAATGTTCCCGTGAATTGAACTTTTATACTTTTAATAAGGTATTCAGTGTTCATACTGTGTCTAGTTGGTATCTCATCATTTCTGTTCTTGAAGGCGTTCGTAATTCCACTGTAAGCATGACTGATACAGTATTCAATTATCTCTACACCTCTAAAGGAAATTTATATTCCAATGAATCATCGAAACGACGAATATTAATAATATCAAACTATTAATTCTGTAATGTAAGTTTGTTAACAGATTAGATTTCAAGAAAAGTTTGTTACAATTCTATCGTTAGATATTCTTATTGTTTATTGTTCAACTGATGGATAATATTCGATGTATCGATAATTCGTGTATTACACGTTTCTAAAAAAAATTATCAAATAAATAAATTAACGAATAAAATAACGAAACAAATAAATAAATTAACGAATAAAATAACGAAAAAAAAATAAACAAACGAATAAATTCCGATTAGAAACGCAAATAGATGAATCGACAACGTGTTGTAAAATGTATCACGCAAATTTAAATTGTGCTCATCCGCGATGTGATATCACGTAAACCAATTAAATATGCACGTATATTTACCGTACCTATGTACAAAACTGGATGTTAACTTTTATTTCAATTCTTCGTTTTATATCCTTATTATTCACATTGGTCGTTGAAAATGTTCAACCTTTGTAAAATACAGGATGTCCCACAATTGTTGACACGCTTTGTCGATGTGTTCTGTAGGATAAGGTTGAAATAAGACTGAAATGTTTTTAAATGTTCCATTGTAAAGTTATGTATAGATTTTAAAATTGAGATTGTATTGTACCTTTGAATTTATGTGTAGACCAAATTTCATCGTAATTTTACTATGTTTCCTACAAGATACACACATAAATATAAGTATAACATAGTACAACTTCGCATTTCACATGTATATATTTTTATTTTTAATGAAGCATTTATGGACTTTTCGCTACACGGAATTACTATATTATTTATATCTACTTTTTCTTTTAACAAAGCAGTTACGAAGGTTTTGCTACATGACTTATTCTTATCTGTAGAATATACATGCCAAAGTATGTGTGTGTGTACGATAAAGTATAATATAGGATACTTTGTGTAGGTCATAATTAATGCACTAAGAAATATTAAAAACCTTTTGCATAATTCAACGATGATAAAAGCTTCACGTTGTGATCTTCGAATCTTTGCCCTCAATATTTTATTTCGGAAAGAATTTACGAACTTAGCTACGGCGAGAAATAAATTTCAGAAATCAAACATCAGAGTCGATATTTATTTCTTGCCTTGAAAATGGCACTTACCTAATCGCGCTATACTCCCTTATCCAACGTACGTGTACGCGCATTATTTTTATTTAAGAAGATATCGACCGATTCTATGAAAGGACATTGAAACCGCCAGTGCTTCTGGGGTTAACGCAAGGGATGGTCCACGTGAAATAGGTCATCTAAATATTTTCTTTCCCTCCTAACTTGGGAATAGAATCAAGTGGTTCTGCGAAAATTTTATTGAAATGGAAAAATTTCGAATTGAGGAATTTTACAAATCGAGTACACACGACGAAAATAGAACTTTTACAAATGAGAGAAAATAAAGATTTATATGGTTAGAAAGTTATTCTAATTCCTTCTATTTAACTTAAACATAACAAATATGTCATATATATATATATATATATATATAAATAAATAAAAAAAATAGAATTCTTTAGGGCGTGAAAGGATTCAAGCGTCCATTTCGCTCTTTCTGCACCAACGATTCACGATTGCTGTTCGTTAACCAATATATCTTTCTAGGGATGCTTAAAGTGTTTTAAAGTATTTCCTCTACAGGCGGGTAAGTATTAACCCATCATGACCTAATATCATTCGCAGGAGGAGATAGCAACACGGAGTCAAGTGACTTCGTTGGTTTTCCTAAACCTGTCCGCGCCTGATCGCTATCATTTAAGGTGCGAATTTCCAGATCATTCTGGAAACTGGAGCCGAGGAGCAGAACTGACTAAAACTGACGGATGTCACGAGGATTAAACAGTATCAGACGAGTCAATATCGTTGGTGTCGTTGCAACAGCTGATCTCTTTGGTCAGCACATAAGCTACATACGATCAATCAGAGGACTAATGATACAAAAATCGTAAGAAAGCGAATGGAAAAGGAGAAAGAAGTAAAGGAGAAGAAAGAGTAAGAGAGAAGAAAATGCAGAAGAGAAAGGGGTAAGGTGGAAGCAGAAAATGAGGGTAAGGTAAAGACAAAGATAGCCAAAAAGAAAAACAAAGCAAAAAGAGGGAGATAGAAAAGTAGAGAGAGAGAGAGAGAGTGAGAAAGAGAGAAGGGGGTGGGAGGGAGAGAAAGAGAGAGAGAGAAGAGAGAGGAGAGAGATGTAGGGCCTAAACGCAGCCGAAAAACGTGTTCATTGCATTCGAGCCATCTCTCGCAGGGAAGCCCGGCTTTGACCCGGTAGCCGGCGGCGGCACAATCCGCGCGGCTGCCTGACGCATTGCAGGTGCGCGTCGGCCAATCACAGGCCTGGTTAGTTCGCCCGGACTTGTCCTGTAAACACGACCGCACCCACCCCGCATGTAAAGCGGATTTGCACGATTGTCCATGACGACCATTCTCTACGTTGGACGTCGTGTCGTTCCTACTTCTTCCTATTTGTCCAATTAAAAACCAGTCGTTTTTTCAGGGTTTTCGCAGAGGAGAAGCCGCACGGGACTATCTGTCGATCGCGTAGGAAACGACGCGGCGCATCGCCGCGTGAACTCCCCTTAACCCCCGTCCAGACCGTTGACCAATCACGGTACGCTGTCGTGTAGCCCGTTAGGGGCGGCGTAGTAATACCTGACCGAGACAAGCGGCAGAGAAGCTCGTACACCGAGAGAGAACGGTGGACTCCATTGCTGTCCCGAGTGCGTTTCTCGTCGGCTGTGTCGTATTGCGTGTCTGTCCGTGCTTTCGTGCACACAAGTTTTCCTTTCCACGACTGCTCGGAGAGAGATTGTGAATAGTATCCCTTGTGTTTAGTGCCTAGACCGACATTTGAGATCGTCGAGCGTACTGAGACATAAAAAAACTGAGCCAAAATGGTAAGTCGAATATATTCTCTCTTTCTTGGTGCGTGTACCTATGCAGACGTCGTTCGGCGGCCCCTCGCCCTCACCCTTCGCCTAGGCTTTCGTTTGCCGCATTGACGCGTCGAGTGCACGTGCAACCGACCAATACGCATTTACTGCAAAACACTTTTTTTTTCCCCCGTCTTTCCTTCTCGGCTCGAGAGATTCTATTTCCCAGGTCCTGTGATATTTTCTTTTTCTCACCTTGTCCTGTTTTTTATTTTTATTTTTTTTATTTTTTTTTTTTTTTTGTACTTACGCACTGTTACAATATTACTATTCGTAATATGGCCGGTATGTAGAGATGGACCGACTATCGATCCGTCTCTCCTTTGGTGGCTCACATACACATTTTTCTCGTCCCGTTTAAAAAGTCGAAACGTTCTTCGAGAGAAATTGGACGAAAACCACGCACGATCCGGATAGGAATCGATGGTTTTTCAAATCTTCCGGCCGACTATCGAGTTATTGGTCGTAGCGACGAAACAAACTTTTCGAGAGTTAATGTCGTTCGTGTTACGTTGTGTCGTGTATGAATATACCATGTAACGGTACGTTGGAATATCGAATGACGTGAAAAAAACTTCCTCGAAGTCGTTAATTCACGACATTTATCTGCTTAAAATACCTTATCTCTAGATTATCAAATCGCTGTAAGATAATTGTTATCGTATTTCTTTTTCGGATATCTCACGGATTCCAATTGGCGATAAGTTACGTTGGCGCTGAATTCGAATAAAGATTTTTTCTTTCTTCTTTAAGTTGAAGTTTAAGTTCTACGTGAAATAATATAAATAATTCAAAAATTTTGAAATAGCAATTACGTATTCAGTCGAGTGAAACATCATTTCCTTTTTAGGCTTAATATACCTTGTTATCGCCTTAGAGTACAAGCCTGAAATTTTAGTCAATTTTTATCTCATATGTGACAGGTTAGTTTTTAATAATATTTTTTTAGTTTTTAACAATATTTTTTTTAGAATTAAAGCACTTTGCGAGAAAGAATGATCTTGACTTTCTTTCATCATTCTCACTGTTTTCTAGCGTATAGTATTCGACACAATCAATCATTACACGGTATAATATCTTACTATTGATTTTCGCGGTCTCTTGTCGTTGCGCCAATTTCCTTATTCCTTATACGTTCCTGCACTTATCCTTCAATTAATCTTCCATAAACGTCGATCTTTTGCTACAAAAACTTGAACGTGCATTATTTATGTGCTAAATCTAAAAAACTATGATAAGAATTTTAAAATCGCACCACCATACAAAGTGTATATTTTCATATTTTGTGACTACGTAATTTAATTTTTTTAAGATCAAACAAGAACGAATATCGTGCATTTTTAGATTTTTGAAAATATTTTCTCGGTTTTAATCGCGGTTTTATAACGTTCAAAGATGTTGGTTGATTGTTTTATCGCATAACCTAAAATATAGATTGACCACTCTGAACTATTTATTGAATATAAAATATTTATAAACCTTCGATTCTATTAAAAATTAATTATCTTCCAATAAAATATAAAATTTTTTTATTTAAATTCTTAAAAAATATCTTAAAAAATATCTATCCAATAAAATAAATTTATTCCTCTGTGTGTGTGTGTGGTGTGTGTACTTTTCTTTTAATAAACAATTGAATATTGAATATCGAACTATTGGTTTATTTATGACATTTGTTTATTATAGATCTAAATGCTCAATGAGTATTTTTGTATAAAATATATAGAAGAAAGCATAACATGTATATATATATATATATATTGTGTGTGTGTGTATGTGTGTGTGTGTATTTACAGCTGACCTATATTGTAAGGTGTTTTATTCTAGAACTCATAGATTGATTTAAAACAGCTTTCCACATTAAATACTGCATTTCTCTCACATTTAATCTTCATATAATTACAAGTACAAATACATAAATTATATAATTTTTTGTCTATAAATACAAGAAATATTTAATTTGCCATTTTATTTGAGGATCTAATTATAACAAACTCAATTTTTGTAAATAAAGATGCACAATTGTCAAGATGCAAAAAATGTCATGTGTTTGTTAATTTTCTTTACCAACATAAGCTTACAGTAAATATTTGTCAATATTAATCGGCCACGATATATATTTCATTGCATATAAAGTTGAATAAATTGATTAGAATAAGCAATTTAATCTTGACATTAATTAGTTGTTACTTGCGTACATTTGCCATTGAAGAGTCCAAGTTTATTTGAAGAATAAATTCTTCATAAATATATCATGTGGATTAGATTGAATTTTAGTCTCGGTTTGTCAAGAATGCATGCTAATTAACCGGTGTCAAAAATATTAACTTTCCAATCAACAACATTTTGAGTCCTGAGTGTCTCAACCACCGTGTTATGCCCTTCCGCTACTTTTCCTAATGAGGGTGGGGCAATATCTGAACAGGTGTTTAGAATTTTCGGCAAGGTGGCAACATCTCCGAATCAGAGCCTTGATAACGAGATCTTACTATATTATTATGCATTAACCATGAAAAAAAAAAATTTATCGTTGAGTATATTAGAAATAATTTTTCTTTATGATCGTGTTGTTAATCTCGCCAACAAAAATCACGCGTTTTGTGGCAAAATATAGAATTTTTTAAATTTTTGAATATATAAAATTCACTTTGTTGTATGTGAGATAATACAAACAGCTTTATTTTTTTGATATTTGATGCTAAGTAACAAACATATAAATAATAGAAAATGTTTATATGTACATATTTTATTCCAATTATTATAATTGATAGAAATTTTGTGATACGTCAAGCTTGTACAATGTTCGATAAAATGAAGTTCTCATACAGTTGATTTAAATAAGAAATTCTGAAGCTGAATTCTTTTAACAATATTACATAAGTGATACGTATGTGTAACTACAAATTTAATTTTTTAATTAAAGGCTGATCAACTGACAGAGGAGCAGATTGCAGAATTTAAAGAGGCATTCTCGCTATTTGACAAAGATGGAGATGGTACCATCACAACCAAAGAATTGGGTACAGTTATGCGATCACTTGGTCAAAATCCTACAGAAGCTGAGCTTCAAGATATGATCAATGAAGTGGATGCGGATGGTATTTTATTTTAATTTAATTTTATTATATAATAACATATATGTTATTATTCATTATGCAGTATTTGTATTTTTTTTAGATTGTATGTAATATCAACGTTATTTTATCATTTGTGATTTTATCATTTTGTTATCTAAGATACTTGCATAATGAAAAAATAATTTTTTTACATCGTTACCATTATCTCATTGTTAAGAGCATTGGAAAAAATCTGATTTCAGAAAAAATCAAAACTAAAAATACTTGGAATTGTAGGTAACGGAACAATCGATTTTCCTGAATTCTTAACCATGATGGCTCGCAAAATGAAGGATACCGACAGTGAGGAGGAAATTAGGGAGGCCTTCAGAGTATTTGATAAAGATGGAAATGGTTTCATATCTGCAGCGGAACTTAGACATGTTATGACAAATCTTGGCGAGAAACTCACTGATGAGGAAGTTGATGAAATGATTCGGGAGGCTGACATTGATGGAGATGGCCAAGTAAACTATGAAGGTTGTATGACTGAATCTACATTTATCATTATTTCTAAATTAAATTGCTTTTATTAATATTTTGTAAATTATAGTTAAATATGTAAAGTATTTGCATAATTTTTAAATCCAAATTTTGTATTTCTAAAGATAATTATGTTATTTTATTTGTCTAGAATTCGTCACAATGATGACATCAAAGTGAATGCAACCTGTGTAATGGAAAAACTTGCAACTTCAAGTGGTGTTGACGTATTAAAATAAATCGAGAAACAAAGAAAAATATAATGTTAACAAAAAGCGAATCGACCAGAAAGTGAAAAAAATCTTGTATCTGGACGCAAAGATGTCTTTAAAGCGTGAAAAGTCAACGTCCAACACGCGTTAATCATCATTAACGATAAGTAATACAGGGCAATTGTTTAATTAAAAAGTTATACCACTAAAAATCATTATCTCTAAATACACGAAATACTTAACTATACACAACATGAACATAAAAATACATGTTACACGCGCACATACACAAATACAAAAAATATGCAGCACACACATAAATACATCTAATACATAAAAGATGATTTATTTCCGTATAAAAAATATAATTAAAATATATATATATATGTACACACATATATACAGCATATGTATATATATATATATATATATATAAAACAGACGCGCATGTTTGTTGATGATAAAAATAAATAGTGTGTTTCCTTACTTTCCTCTCTTTTTGGCCTTTTCCTATTTCTTCTCTGCACGTATCTTTGAAGACTTTCATGTGTAAGTTTTCCTTGTAAAATCTACTTTTCAATGTATCTAAAAAAAATGCAATTATTAATTAATGGACAGAAGAGAGGAAAAGTATTAAAAGAAAGGAAAAATCTCTATTATAGCGCATCGTGTAGGTTCGTTTATTGATCGAGATAAATTGGAAATTTTTTCTGCTTATTTCTCGATCAAGAAAAACGTGCTATCATTGATATAGCATTTGTCGTAGCCCGAAATTTTATCAGTAACGTACATGTTAAGCGTTTGTTTTATTTTGCCAAAATTCGAATTGCAATCGAAGCGCATCGTTTTCCAAAGTTCGAAATATAATAGACTTCGACCTTTGGCTTACCAATGATTCCGCGTATACTAGATTCCTTGTTACGTCATAGTGGGTAATTTAAGTTTTAATAGCTGAAAAAAAGTATTGTTAAAATTAAAAAAAAAAAAAAAAAAAAAGCGGAGAATTGTCAAGCGGTTCAGAGATGTGCGTGACCGCTAACTTGAACCACGTTCACAAGATCTACGGAATCGGATTATATCAATATTGATACTCCTGGTAAAACTTCTCTATGCCTTTTCAGCTTTGTTAAACTTTTAAAAAAACCTATGTAATACATAACATGTATTATACATGTAAACATATATACACATACAAACGCGTACACGACACATAGACATTTCACCAAGTGCGTTCTGTATCCAATTTCATTATAATCTCCCGTTTGTATCTTATCTCCACTGAGAAAGCCTTAAAACGCGTGTGCGTTATGCAACGTCGACACCACTTTTGTTGAAATATAAATGAAATCACAAAAAAATAGGGATGAGGGATTTAAAAAAAAAAAGTTACGTCACAACACAGTGATTGGTGCATTATATTTTCCTTCGCCCAGGGGTGCGTGCCAGTCTCGCAAGATCAACAACTAAAATTGGAGAAACTGGTGTGATTTTGTGCGATTCGTATGATAATGTTACTTAAGTACTAAGAACAAACACCGAAGAGTGGAAAACACATGCGTGTCGATGGTTCAGTCATAATATATATGTAATATATATTATATATACATATATATGTATATATATATACATACGTATATGTGTATATGTATATATATGTATATATATATATATAAACTAATTTACGAAAAAAAGGAAGAAAAGAAGAAAGAATTCCTCCACAGTCCTTTATTATTTAATATTGAAGTGAACAAAATGAGAAGTACTTGTATTTCTGGTGACCTAGATCGCATTGATCATAAAAAGACAAAATAAATGTATCCTCATTTTTAGGTCACAACTACTCAATTCGTTTCCTTCATTAACCAATGGACCTCTCGTTTCAGCCATTTTTATCTTCATCGTCATTTTCAATGGCATCTAGAAATAGTTTGCCGACAAACTAAAAATCTATGTGTATAATTCACTGTCAAGATTCGCGTTAACATATCTATGAAGTTTCATCGGTTCGAAAGCCTTTTATAAAGATATAAGGCATACGAATCGCAAAAAGAGAGCTCTTAAAACTATTTTACTTCACTTGCGATCGTTCTGATAGCTGTTATCGTTATTGTGAACATAAAGTTAAAATTTAGCGGTTTACGGAGAAAATGTTCTCACTTTGTAAAGATGCAAAAAAATGGAAAGAGGAATCATGATAAAGTCCTTTTGTAAATGGTGATATAGAACTTACTCAAAAAACATCTCTATTTAAATGCTTAAACAAGTTATTGCTCGTTTCATCGATCATTGACGGTTAGTGTTTAAGTCTAAGTTAAAAAAATATATTCCAATATTTAATATTAATTTTATATTCGTGTCGCAAAAGTTATACATTCATAGTCTAAACTATAATTTTACAGAAGTTCTTCACAGCGAGCGCTAAGAACCGATATTAAGTTTAAAAAAAGAAAAATCAGTATTGTATCTCAAGAATAACTAAAGCTTGAGATCTATTACAAAATCGTGTTCTCGTTTCTTCAAACGTCGTTTCTCAAAACATTTGTTCCTCGCAAATAAAATAGTGAAAATTCTACTTCAGTCACCTCTTATTCTCAGTCTTTTCTTCGAAATTATATGAAATATTAAAATATGATATTTACGAAATTCCGTCGTGACGTGAATAAGAAGTTATTTATTTTTGATGTTTATCTCTGAAAAATAATTCAAATAAATGTATTTATTCATTCGGCTAAAGAAGAAATATTCGCTATATTTCTTTTCTCCTGTGTTTGAGATTTGTACATTCATAATTTCTATTCTATGCGAGATATTTTCCGCCATATCAAAGGCATATTTCACTTATCGTGCATGACGAAGCGACACAGTTTGTATAAAGTGTTGATATTAAGTTAATAAATTGTTCCCATACATTAAAGTATTGATTAACTCTTGTTTTTTCAAACATGAGAATAAGTTTTTCCGTTTTTCAAAATTGATTTTTTTTGTATATTACCACTCTACGTGTTGAATTAATTTACTTAATTTATTCCATTTATAAATTCCAATATGCGTGTAAAATGCATTATAACTGAGCAATCAAGTATTACTGATTTTATTACTATTATTAATATTATTATTTTATAATAATACAGTTTCAAATTAAAATAGTATTACGTTTTGAACAAATTTTGATATTTATATACATATATATCATTAATAGAAATAGTACAATAAAATATTTTAATTTATTATTAATAATCATAAAATGTAATTTAGGGGCTAATAACATAGATTTTTCATTTTGGAATTTTTTTAGTCAATATTACTATTATATGTCATTAAATAATACAAAAATTTCAATCTCTCAATAAATAAATAAAATTGAAAAATTTCTTAAATAATTCTACGAACTATTGCATATTAGTACAAATATATGTCCTTCCTTGATTCATTTAATCAATTAAATTAACATTTTTAATTTCACTTCTTTTTGTTAATAAAACTTTAGAAGACATTTTTTATTTAAATCTTAACATTCATTAAATGCATAAAAAGTTCTGTAAAAAATACTATATTTCATGCATATCTGTCAGGGAAGTATGTTTTGTAAATATTTTGTATGTCTTTAGAATATACAACCTTCTGGCAGTATTTTAAAATGTAGGCACACTTCTTGTAGTAAATTTTTTAATATCCTTGCCTGATTCTCAGAACTCTGTAAATCCATTTTTATTATAATATTGGAACAAAAATTCTTAATAATTCATTTTGTTTTGAATAGATTATTTTGTATTTAAAAATTTATTAATTTAAGAAACTTACTTCATTTAACACAACAGTTGGTATGAAAGAAATTTGTGGTGTTAAAGCATTTGTTAATTCTCCATATTTAGCCAAAAGTTCTTTGCCTTTTTTTTCAATAAAACACTTAAAAATAGGATTATAATCTAAATTCATTTTTTTTGCACAAGTTTCCATAATATTCACTGGTACTATGTTGTTTTTAATCATACAAGATAAATATTCTAACTGAATGGAAGTATTCTTTAGGATATTTATGGAACATGCATGAATAATATTCGCTCCACATTCGACAGGTCCATGTTGGCACATAAATTCATACCCATTATCGGTTTTCACAGTCTGTAAAAATTTATTACATTTAAATGAGCTTAGATTTTAGAAAGTTTTGGAATACTTTTTTCCATTTATCTTTAAAGTAATTAAACATTAAACGTTAAAATAAACTACTTGAAAACTAATATACTTGATAGTAATATGATGTTAATTGTTATTAAAGCTAAAAATAAAATAATATTTTAATAATATTTATTAGAAATTAGTCATTATTTTGATTTTATGCTACTTCATATTACTCCTTATGGAAATATATCTACATGTACGTACATGATAATGCAGAACTAACATCAGTATATATTTAAAAAAACTAAATTATACATGAAGATAAAAATGTTTTACTACTACATGTATTACATATTATATTAATACATATCAAAAATAAACAAATATAAAAATCAATTAATATTTCACAATCTGTAACTATTAAAAGATATATTTTTAAATGTTTCTCACTATAAAATGTCTTACCGTAGCTTTCCCGTATGGTATAAATTCTAATTGTACATTATCTGGAATTTTGTGATACATTGGCAATAACTGTTTTATGAAAAAACTGCGAGAATCTGGACATAGTGCTTCATAATATACTGCTATATGAACTTTTTGCTTACTCTCATCATCTTTTTGGTTTAACGTTACCACCTGGTTGTCCTGAAGCTGTGCTATACAAAACTTAGCAGATACCCAAGAAAATCGAGAAAATTACATAATTATAAATTAAAATTTTTGTTTAAACCATTGACACAAAAATAAAAATTTTATCTGATATTTTCTATTAATTTCTTCTACTAATACAATGTCAAATAATTTTTATATTTATAAAAATAAATATACAAATAATTTTTGATAAAATTTTGGAGTTTGAACCTATTACACATGAAATATATAATAATACCAAAAAAAAATTTGTACGTTGATTGTTTACCTATTTAATATAAATAATATATGCATTTATACAATATTCAGATTTATCAATGAGAATTAAAACGTTTGAAAAAATAACGAATAACTGTAATTTGCAAATCGAAAACCGATAGTATCTTAGAAAAGGAAATTATTACATCTTTCATGACCTTTACTTGTAAACATATGGATTTTTACCTTCTATGCCAGATTTCTCTTGAGTGAAACTCAACCACACTTTCGAGGATTGCCAAAGAAGTAAAACTGATACAATAATCAATAATATTTTCCATCGTAAAATTCCTAGTCCCATTATCCGTAATTCTAAAGCTACAAACTAGAACGATGGTACAGAATAAATTTTACTTGTGATGTAACAATTTCAAACGTGCAAGAAATGTGAAGTGTCACATCGCAACGGACATGGAAGTGAATAACTTCAATAATATTTTATATAACCTACATTACAACCTGAGTTTCATTTTATCACGAGATAAAAATATATACTTGATATAGATAAGATAAGATTTGATAAATATATTTTTTATTAATAACATTCTTAAACATATTTTCAAATTTCTTATAATGAATTTACTGAATAATATAGATGTGTACGATTATTTTGTTAGTAAATTTTTATATATAAGAAATCTAATTTTAATGATTTGTTACTTTTCAAGTTACATGTGAATTCAGAAATGATATATATGCTAATTATAAAATGTTAAAAGAGTCAACTTGAAGTTAATAAATAACCTCAAATATCAATAAATCATTGATTTGAAGAATTAAATCTAAACTTATCATATAATATTTTTGAAATATAAAAAATATCGCATTTTTTAAAAAGATTAAAAGAATTAATAATTAAGACAAAATTTTTTTCATATTTTTTTATTAAATACATTGAGCATTACATTTGTCGTAAAGTTAATTTTAACTTTAATTTTAAAAATTTTAACAATTTAACCAAAGTTAAGATGTTTTTATTTCCTATTGCTAAAAATATTTCTAACTATTTTCCAATATTTTCTAGTTCTTCTAAGAACGTCTTACACTTTCCTTTAAGTATCTTAACTGCTTCTACAAATAATACAGATGATGATAATGTTCCCACTGATTCAATGGTAACTATAAAAAGATATATAATATTAATATATATAATATATATATATATATAAAATAATACATATGATAATATAGATAACATATAATAATAGAGAAATTATATATAATTTGCACATATATAGTTTTTAAATCAAAATTTTTTAAAATAAAATATTTAACTTACAAATAATATGATTTTGTATTCTACTCAATTGTACACATCCTTTAAGATCTTCATGTTGAAACACATTTCTAGAGCAACTATCATAGCGAGGATTTTTTACCCTTGCTTCACGGGAATCTAAATCACCTGGTTTAGTTTCAATTACTTCTATAACACCGACGCTAAAGCAGTTTTTCAAACGATCTGCCATTTCTCCTCTAACAGGTTTTGTTAGTTGTATATCTGGTAATAGTCTATACGATGCAGTAGCTAAATAAAAGATGAATTCAAAAATGAATGTTACAAGTAAACTTGCAAAACTTGTCCAAGTGCATTCAATTACATTAATACTTACAATTAAAAATACAAATATTTTTAATATTAATAACATACCTACGGGAGAAAATTTAGCATGATCTTTCCCAATTCCTTTCACTGCATGCATGAAAAGATGAATTTCTTGACCGGGGCGCATTTTACATATTAAAATATCTTTTTCTAGAACACCTAATTGTTCCGCTCCTCGAGGATAAAGTTCTTCTTGACGTCCAATGGGAACCCATTTAATGTCTTTGCTATATACTATAAAATAAAATTATTTTTCACTAAAATTTTTATGAATATTATTGTATTAGATATTTACGTACCATTGCTATTTCTGTATATATCATTTGTTCTTCTAGAATCTTTAGGTGCTTGTGGATTCCAAGTACAGGATATTTTAAGTTCATATCTTAGACTATCTTGATCACTAACTTCATCTTCATCTTTATTAGAAGGATACTCAAATAATCTTGGATCAGCTCGAAGTGGTATTAAACCCAACCTTTAAAACCAATGTACATGTAATATATTTTATGTTACCTTCAGTAATTTCAAATGAAAATATAATATAAATTTTAAATATACCTGTGAGCTAGAACTTCATCTTGAATTACACTTGTGTTATTTACAATATAAACCTTTTCTATGGCCATAGTTGGTACTTCGCTTAAAAGAATTCTACGAAATGCATTGGCAAAACCAACAGGATAACCTATCAAGTCAAATTCTAACTCTCGTTCATCTTCTGACTCTCTTACAACTTGAATTGTGAATTCCTAAAAGTATAAATTAATTTGGTACATAATAATTTTACAAATAAAAAGTAAATACATTTTCTGTTAAAAAGAAATACTTTTTTAAAATTGAACAAGTTCCAATCTTGTTGTGTATATTCAGATGCCTAAAAAATAAATTATTATTATTAATTATTAATTATTCGTTTCAATTATAATTTATATATATATATACCGCAAATATATATTGTAAATCCTTACGTTCGGTATACCATATTCCTCGAGAATAACACGAGATTTCCAATTTCCTTCCATTGTTTAATATTTGACGTTGAGGTTACATACACATGCACATGGCATAACTTCGGTGTTCCGCAATATATCATGTTTTGCCCACAACTACAGAGAAATGCACATGGCATAACTTCGGTATTCCGCAATATATCATGTTTTGCCCATTTCATTTAGTTAGCATATGAATTTATGGTACAACAAAGTTTCAAGAAAATTTTTAAAAAATTTGTTTCTGTAAATATTTTCTTTCTTTTCCAATTATAGTTCACAAAATGCAAAAGATTTGATGCAAGTATTTAAATTGTTAAGATAAATTTTTAATATTGCGAATAAAACGCAATGAAAACGAGTGAAATTTGGAGGGTAATATACGATATAAAACGATTCCAAATATAAAATCTTAGCTTCAAAAAACCTCTATATGAAATCTGGCGTTCTGACGCTAGAGATCGGAACCAAACTATTCAAACTGCAAGTTGCATATGTTTGGTTGCTTTTAAATGCATCAGACATTCTAAACACTCCAAATTACAATTTGAACATAGGTTGTCCTCCTTTTTTATATAATGGTGATTGATTTTTCATATGATGATCGTAAAATTGTAAAATCAAATGAGTAAATAATTGTAAATATTTCAAATTGTAAATATGTCAAAAAAGTTCTTTCATAGTCCTCATAACACTCTCCAAATTTCATCTTAATCAATGACGAAGATCATTCAGAATCAAAGCCTAAATTTTTTATCAAATAAATGCAGTAGTAAATACTAATAATAAATTATAATTATACATTTACTTTTAAATATGTAAATATCTATGTAAATACGTAATATATACTATTTGCGTATATACAACTTTATTTGCATTAATAATATAAAACTTCATAGAAGTGACAAACAAAATATTTCAATAAACATTTTTCAACAATTTATTTTTATGTTGGGTTTATAAATATTGGTGTATTTTTAAATGTTTGATCATTTGTGGCGATTTGAAGAAATCGCTAAAAATTTTCTTTTCAGAAAATTTTTAGTAAAATCAATTATCAATTGACAATATCATTCTGATCTACTTCCCAACACTATGGTGTGTTCTTCTTTCAATGTATATTACATATTTCTTTAATCCAAAGCGGCAGCACCAGAAATAATTTCAATCAGTTCTCTAGTAATTACAGCTTGTCGAGTACGATTGAATGTTAGAGTTAATTTATCTATCATCTCTCCTGCATTTTTGCTAGCATTATCCATAGCAGTCATACGACTTGACTGTTCACTACAAGCACCTTCTTTCATGGAATAGAATAATAAAGAAGCTAGAGAGAATTCCAGATAGCTTTGAATTACATTTTCATCCAGAGAGTCATATATAGATAATTTTGGTGCACTGACTACTGCAGTTTTGTCAAAAAGAGGTAACTGATCAACAGCATATGATACTACAGACTTGAATCGATTGTAGACAATGCGGCCAGAACCAAAACTGTACCTGCAAACATCAATATTGAAATTGAAATATGTACCAAACAAAAGTATATAGAATTATTTTGAAAATAATATACGATTATCAACATACTCGCTGTTCAAAATTTGATTTGCTACTTTAGCAGCGTCATTAAATGTAGGTGGTTTACGACCAACTTCAGATGCAACAAACAATATATTATTAGCAAACAAGCGTGATAAAATCGCTCGTGATTTTTCACCAACGCATATAATTTTCGTATTTTCGCGTTCTTTGGGATCTGCTAGAAGAGCATCTCTAATGTTACGAGAAACCCCAGTATGTACAGCACCGCATAATCCACGATCACTTGTTATTGCTATTACAAGTTTTTTCTCATCATCTGGTGGTGCCTGAATTTCAGCTTGTTCATAAAATGTTTTTGTACCAACTCCAAGAGGTCTAGCTTGTTTTAAATCTCTTTCTGCTCTATTATATTTAGCGGCTGACACCATCTTCATTGATTGAGTAATTTTTTGAATATTCTTTACAGACTTTAATCTTATAGAAATTGCTTTAAGAGTTGCCATACCACGTTTTTGTTGTTGTTGTTGCTGCTGAGCAGCAAGCCGAACAATTGTCGCCATGTGATTAGAAAACATTTTGAAGTTGGATGTCCCTGTAAAATTATATAAAAAATATATATGAAGTATATTAGTATAAAGTATATTGGTACTAAATATAAATAATATATGAATATATATAAATATATACATCAAAGTATTTATTAAATTAGTGTGTATCAACAAATTTTAACACAATACTAAATAATTAAACTAATTAAGCTTGATATATTATGTTTCATAATGAAAGAACTATTTATTTGTACTATATAAATTACTTTTTTACTTTACCTTTATATACAAAGTATTTAACATAAATTCCAAATTATATTTCAAAATTATTTTTAGTACTTTATTACAAAAATAAAGAAAATTACAAAAAAGTAAAAAGAATATGAATTGATAAATTATAATTATAATTTTTAACATAAACTAAATCATACATTTTTATAAAAATATTGGTAAAATCACAACAGTTTTCAACAATTTTCAATGTAAGCTAATTAAATACAATTAGTAGTACTATACAAAAATTATGAAAAATAAAATTTTATTAATGCTAGAAACTTTACTAAAAATATTCTCATGTGAAAATATTTAACTTACCAACACCAAGTTATTTAAGTTTTGAAAAATAAAATAATAAATTACATAAGACTTACATCAATAAAATTATAAACTTAATAAATAAAATATTTTTTTAATCTCATTTTTAATATATATTAATATCATAATATTAACATTACATCTCTTACTAATACTGTATTTATTACAAATTGTCATATCAAGAAGATAATAAGAGATAATAATTGTTATATTGTTATATTGTTCCACAGAAAATATTCATCTATTTGACGGATTTTTGACAAAATTCATAATGAAAATAGAACTTAACGCAGATAAAAAGGAAATAAAATAGAAAGTAAATGACAGATTACGAATAGAGAGATTACAAATATAAATTCTATAGTAATAATAATAATATCAGTAATTGTAAATTATTTTATAATTCACTATAATATTATCTGATTTATATAATCACAATGGATACCATTTATACTTAGAATTTATTTGTTTCAATACATATGTTCATTGTTTCTTATTCATTTCTGTTCTATACCTAATTATTAAACTAATTATATTAATTTTTATTTATTGTAATGATTTAAACTCACCGCACAACTTAGAACAATGTAATACAAAATGAAATAACTATGTTAAACGGGATGGTAATGATCATAGAACACGGAGTCTCCCTCAAGTATAACACCTATATATGTGTGCAAGTTTATTAAAGACGATCAATAGGCCCCCTATATGCGAAAATACCTCATGATCTAGGGTTTTTATGGATTTAGTAATTATTTCAAAATTTTATGTACGTGAGTTGGTATCAGTGGAATCCTTATTCGCTCGGTAAAGACCGCGAAATTTAAAGCAATTGTTAGAATGTTTTTTCAAGTCCTTAAATCTTCAAGATTCCATAATAGATTAGATTTGATCGATAATTCTTCTCGTTGCATTCAACTACGTGATATATACATGTAAATATATATACCCGGATTTAGTTGACAATAGCATCATAGAATGTTTTTCTTATAACGTAACCAATGTATGAGTATATACTTAACTGTTAATTTTTATATAATTCTTTTATTATATTTACAGATTAGACTATTACAGTCTTCTCGCATTGAGTAGTTTATTATAATAAACAATACAAAAAGATTGATAATTTATTTGAAACTGTCAAACTTTTTTATTGTATTTTTATTGCATACAATAAATTATGTATTTAATTGTAGAAATTGTAATATTTATTTATTAATCCATTATTAAAATGGCTTGTAAGAAAACAAAATTAACTGTTTTAAAATATGCGATTCATTCATTTGTATATATTAATATAATACACATGATCATATATATACATATTTACACATTAACAATATTTTCTATATTAATTATATTATTTATATAACATAGTTTTAATTTCATAGTTAATAGTACATACATGTATATATCATTGTATTATCAGTAGTGCTCACAGATATGCTTGATTTCAATGAATTTTATTATTAAATTAATCAGCTTTTTTACTTCCCCGCGTTTTCCAAGCCACCAAAAGATTCCAGGAAAAATACAAAGAAAAAGAATGAACTTGGGATGCTAACAGAATAAATGCATACCACAATAACCCATATGGTAGATCCTAGAAATTAATTTTCGCAGATATTAACAAACATTTTATACAAAGTATTTCATTTCCAATTATTTTCAATTTACCTGCCAGAAATGAATCTCATCTGTTTTACCAACAGTTAAATATTTCCAAACATCCTTGAAATAATATATAACTGCATAAAGTAATGGACCGTATCCGAGTAGGAATATACCGATCATGTATTGTTGCAATGTTTTAATTCTATTTCTTTTAATGGCAGACAATCCAAGGAAACTCAGCATCAAACTCGTACACCAAATATATTCCCACCATAAAGGCTACAAAATATGAGAAAGACATTACATTCAATATCAATAATTTTATAGTAAAGATTGTGTACCTGAGGTACTTGTAATTCTTCAATCTCCAAGATGAATATATCCAAATGGTCTAAAATATCAGCTGACAACTTGGCAAGCATAACGAAGAAAAGAAGATAATGAAAAAATATACAATATTTCAGTCTTGATTTGTTTGTTGCGCTAAAAGGAACGTACGTTTAATTCTAATAATAAATAAATAACTTAGAACGATTTATTTTTAATTATTACTCTTTTCAAATTTCAGGATATATTATCATGTATAATATCAAATAATTTTTGATAAAAAAAAAAGAGAAAATACATATTGTTTTTATTATGTCTAATTACCTGATTTGATAGTGACTAGCAATTTTTTGTCTATGATTAAAATCACTTCCATCTGTACCCAGAGCCTGGGACAGTGTTACTTTCGAAGCCATATTTCGAAACTATCGTGACTAAGATATAAGAATCCAATTCCTATTTTAACAACAGAAATTTATGTATAAACAATTTCCGGACTGCAATTGAAAATAAACTGTTCGGCACTTCATTACCAACTATTTTACTATTTTTAAACTTTTTGAAGCTCTGTTAGTGGCCTCGTGGGTCACGGATCTTTGCAAATGTGTCACTTTTATTAAGTCACGTTTCCACTTTACAGAAATTGAACATCATTTTTGCCGATTTTCCTTTTCTTCAATTTCTCGCATAAATATTTTTCAAAAATTTATGAACTAATAAATGACGAGATTTTGTAATTATTCAATAATAATACAAGTAATTAATAATAATACAAAGATTATCATTATAAACATTATTTTTCCATAATATTATTCCTATCAGAATTTATTATTCTTAATATAATTCCTATCAGAATTTTATTAATCTTATCAAAATTTATAAGATAAATAATACAATTTAATTTCTAAACAATACACAAAATTATATTGCACATCACGCAATCATTTTCTGTTATGTTTCATATCAACAAATATATACATGTTTTATGTATTATATTACATTTTAATTTTTAGTTTTATTTATATTTATTTATATAGAAATTAATTTATTATTATTATTATTATTTGTTGCAAATAATACTTAAGAAATAATAGAATATATATATATATGAGAAACTTGCACGCTCACATTAGACATATAGTTCTATATAATATTAACTTAAAGTTCAAACATTAAACACGTGTATTACAATTATAAAACATAACCTTAAATTTAATATTGTGAAATATTATAAATAATATAAAATAGTGATAATAATAATGTTGTAAAGCATATAAAATAAAGTACATGAAAAAGAAATTTTATATACATTATTATATAAAATTTTATACATGTATGCACTAAATATTATTGGTTAATAATAATATGTGAAAATATAATCTGTATCAGTTAATAATAATTACAATTTAAAATTAATAATATAAAATAGAGGAACAAAAACTTTATATTTCAAGAATAGTTTCAATTTGTTTTCATCAAAATGAGTTTCAATAAAGTAAAAGAATTCATTGAAGAAGGAGATGTGATAATTTTATATTTAGGGCATAACAATATGCATTCTTTAGAGATAAAGGCAAAGATTCCCAATAAAAATGGTGAAATGGTTGACAATGTTTTTCAAACAAAATATGGAGCGCTTAAAGTATTTTCTCTCGTGGGACACAAGTATGGAACTAAAAAAAAACTTTCTCGAGGATGGGCATATGTGCTACAACCAACACCAGAACTTTGGACTTTAACAGTTCCTCATAGGACACAAATTATTTATAGTCCTGACATAAGTTTAATTATACATTTAATGGATTTAGTACCAGGAAGTATAGTTATTGAAACAGGTTCAACAAATATTAACATATATTTTAAAACAATGTTTTTCTAATAAAATAAATAATATTTATGTAATATTAAAAATAAATAATATTTATGTAATATTATATAATTTATAATTAGTATAATTTTACTTACTTATCTTTAAGTTTTATTTAGCTCATATTATAATATTATTAGTTTACTATTTTATTAATTTAGGTACTGGAAGTGGATCTCTTTCTCATGCTCTTATTCGTGTAATTCGCCCTCATGGTCATCTTTATACATTTGATTTCCACGAGCAACGTGTAAATATTGCTCAAGCAGAATTTGAGAAGCACGGACTTGATAAATTTGTAACTTCAAGTCACAAAGATGTTTGCATCGAAGGTTTTGGAAAAGAATTAGAGACAAAAGTAGATGCAATTTTTTTAGATCTTCCACATCCATGGTTAGCAATAGATTATGCAGCATCTACTTTAAAAAAATCAGGTACAAATTATTCGAAATAAAAGTTTTTGTTCAGTGATTGATCGTCTGTTTATTTTACTTTTAGGTGGAAAATTATGTTCTTTCTCTCCTTGTATCGAACAAGTTCAACGTACTTGTGCAAAATTAATTTCAAAAGGATTCATTGAATTGAATACTTACGAATGTTTACAAAGAGAAATTCATGTACAATATAAAAATCTTCCTATATTGAATTTAGAATGCTTACAATATGAGGTATGTATAATAAATATAATACATAGAATTAATATATATATATATTGCAAAATGAAAAATTTTTTATTAAGTATTATTTCGCTCAATTGTTACAAAACAATAACATCATACAAAATATCATAACTAAAATGACACGTGCTTAGTTTATATTTTATGTTTAGAATGATATAAATATCATTTTTGAAAATATTAATATGAATTTTTGTTAACTATATTTTAGAATGTAGACAAAGATATGGCACAAGAAAGTGAAAATGGAAAACAAGAAATAAAACTGCTTACGGCAATGCATGCTCGTTCTTTACCTGGTCATACAGGATTCATTACAATTGCTACATTACCTCCATTTCATGTACGAAAGATGGAAATAAATTTAAAGTCCAAAGATTGAAAACATTTGTACTTGTAGCACACTAAAATTGTTGTTTACTATATAATATTAAAATTTAATTTTCGTAGAACAATTCAAAATAGTATTTATAATACTATAATGGTAATGAAATAAAGCGTGAAACAACAAGTAAGACTTAGATCTTGAACTCTTATTTATATGCTTGATATTAATTTTATTAAAATCGTTGAATACTTTATGTTTCTAATTTGCTGGGATTCCAAGATAAATAATCGACTCGTGTGGCTGCCTGATATTCTTTTACCAAATATTCGACGACTTCTCTGGAATTATCTAATTCATCCAAATTGTCTTCAAACATTTTTTCTTTACGGAATTGTTCTAAAAATGCTTCTCGTTTTCGTAATTTATCATACTGTTGTAAGGCACGGTCGAATAACTGAAATATGTATCTATGAATGTATTATATATCTAATAACAATTATCATTGATTTGAAATTTTGATTGTGTTTGTACAGTAGACTCTCTCAACCGGTCGGAATAGATAAATAAATAAATAATCGGTTAATTCGACAATCATTTATAGATTAGATGTAGAGAATAAATTTGATGAACAATGTTTGAAGTAAGTCTTTCTAATAATAAAAACGCGTAATGAATGTTGCATTGTAAAATTAATTTTATATATATAATTTATGATGAGTCTGATATGCAATGCTTATTGAATGCATATGTTGAAATTCAATATTGTTATAGAAAAATAATTTTGGTTAAAACGAAGCCGAGTAAAGAAGTCTACTATATTATCAAACAATTTTAAATTTAATAATTAAAACAACTAGTGCTTTTTAATTTTTAACTTACTGATGATATGTTAGTATGATTGGCTAACATTAAGCCAGATACTCTGTGTGTACTTTGAATATACGGTGATTTTCTTGAAAGGGCTACTTGTATACTAGCAGGTCCCCAAGGTATAAATTGTGCAAGTTTTCTTTCTCTGATTCTTTGCAAAGATTTATGAACTTGCGTTGGATCCACTTCACCCTGAAAGATTATATGTTTAAGATTATAATTCTATTTTGATCTTTAATATTTTAAATGGCACATACTTGAATGATGTTTAAGATAGATATATAACAATGAGATGCATTTCTATCTAAGGCTGTAGAAACCATCATATTTTTCGGCTGTAATAAACGTCTCATCACATCTAATACAGAAGTTTTTCTTACAGAAGCTCCCTATTAATTATAAGAAACAAGTTAATGCAAAAACAAAAATATTTTTAAAACATTAAATATGTATATTTTTGGAAATAAATACTCACTTCTTGATCCGTAGTAAGTGGAGTATAACCAGTCATAAGAAAATGTAATCGTGGTGTTGGAATTAATGGCGCAATTAAACCAACTAAGTCATTGTTCATATAAGAAGGATATCTAGTATAATTACATATGAATTAATTAAATAAATATTTATAAACTTTTACAACGAACAATGAAATGAAATATAGATATAAATGATATAATACCGAAGTGTGGTGGTGCTAACAGACATAATTGTAGAAACAAGTTTATTAATTTGTGTAAAACTAGGATTTTGAATGTGAAGTCTATCTGATGCTATTCTATTAAGCGCTGTGTTATCTAAAACAACAACACAATCAGCACATTGTGTCAATCTTTTTAAAGTCAATAAAGAATTATATGGTTGTACCACTACATCACTGAAAGGAATTATTATTTATCTTATTAGTTCATTTCCATTAAAAACGTGATCTTATTTTAGTATAATTCTATCGTACAATATATACCTTATTTCATCTTGATTTGGGAAAACACTATATGTTTCAATTAACTTTTTTGGAAATCTATCTGCAAGAGATTCAAGCATGAACGAACCCATACCTGAACCTGTACCACCTGCGATAGAATGACACAAAACAAATCCCTGTAAATGAACATTATTATTGTTATTAATATGATTAAAATGATTATTATCAATATGACCAATAATATCAATTCAAGTAAAATAATTGTATATACTTCTAAACTGTCACTTCCATCTGCTTCTCTGTCTAAAATATCAAATATCTCTTCTTGAAGTTTCTCTCCTTGATGATAGCCAGATGCCCAATTATTACCAGCGCCACCTCCATGTTTTGATAAATAAATGTTCTCTGGATTATATAACTTGTGAAAAATAATATTTATAATAACGATGCATTTTACTCAAAAAATATATTTATATAAATTCATGAAGTCAAATGAATTTATAAAAACATAGCAATAAATACCTTCGAATACGGAGAATTCATGATTGTATGAATTACTCTAGGTTCTAAATCTAATAATACTGCCCTTGGTATATAATGTTCATCATCCGATTGATAAAAAAATACATCTTTTCTATCTGTCCCTTCTGTTGCATAATCTTCTAAGATACCTTCTGGGCTAATACCATGCTCTGCACACAATTTTTTCCAAAATTCAAATCCAACTAAAAATGAAGTTTTATTATTATTTATTTATTGCTTTCATCTAATCTAACATCTAATATCATAATGCATTTTATGTATATATTTTTTAAACATCTTTTCTACTCTTATGGTACACTAATTTTACAATTTTGTACTTTTAATGAAAAACTTAAAGATAAACATAAATTAAATAGTTGTCATAATTGAAACATGTATGTGTGGTTATATTTATAACATAGTATTTTAATAAAAATATAAATTATATAGTTACTTACTTTGATTACCGCATTGGCCAAGTTGCAAAGTTATCATTTCACAAGGCATTCTGAATTTGTTATTTAATTCTTACAGAGGAATAAATTATAATTATTTGACTTTGATTTTACGCGCGACAAACCTTCAATTTAATTAACATTTCTCATACTACAAATAAAGATATTTCTCGCAAATGTTATAATATACATACATATGATTGCTCTTATTTTCAATTCCAAATATTTATGAATGCAGATAATAGAATTGTACATATAAAGAATAATATTCGAATGTTACTATTGCTACCGTTTTTCAGTTGTAGATGGTGCTACGTTAAACGTCAATGTTTCTTGCTGTTTAAAACTTCGATCAGTTTAAAAATACAAGTAAAATTTTCAAAATAAATGACTTTATATTACGAATGAAACAATATACATGGAGAAAGATTTTTTAATTATTTCAAATAATGTGTTTGTCATTATTTTAAGTAACGTGTTCGTATTTAGAAGTAATTTTTTATTTAAAAAGATTACACGCAACGAGTACATTAATTAATTAATATTACATTATTACTTTTATTTATTTAAGTTATTAAGATAATTATAAACTATATGATATATTACAAGCATAATTGTATAAAAATTAATGTCATTTTAAAAAGTATATACTGTGTACACACACACACACACACAACAACACGCACACGAACGCACGCACGCACGCACACGCACACACACACAACACGAAAGCATTATTGAAAGCATTGAATATATGCACTTATTTTTTGTATCTAACTCTTATGTCATGTTTGCAATACGCATGTGTTTTCAAATCAACCGATTAAGATTATTGTATTAGATAAAAATTGAAGATATTCTAAATCTACGTAATTTAATATATAACAAGGTATAATAAAGTATTATTTTATTATCATATCGTTGTTGTTTAACAGAATTGCTTAACCTATAATATTTTTGAAATGTCATAGTTTCAGTAATTTAAAATTGAACATAATATAGCAAACTATAATATAACAAAGGTAGTTTAAAAGAGTGAACTAAAAATTGTTACATTTTTTAAATTGTTTAGTTTAGTTATTAAAAATAATTGTTTCATTTAGTTTTCAAATAGCTTGCATAATTTAAGAAAAATATTAAGTTTCACAATATTTTAATCAGATTAATGTACACATATTTTAAACTAAGCACAAACCATATGAAAATATTGCTCTGTAAAATTATTAAATTCTTAATAATAAAGATCTCTTTTTAAATGATATTATTACGATTTAACAGATGTCTACAAATAAGTGTCGGAATTGTGGATCTACAGATATTGAAACAGATCCAGCCCGAGGAGATGCTGTTTGTACAGATTGTGGTTTTGTGTTGGAAGACCAACTTATTGTTAGCGAAACAGCATTTAAAGAAACACCAACTGGAAATATGATGGTACTTGGCCAATTTGTTGCTAATGATAGCACTGGTGGAGCTACAGGATTTGGAGCAAGTATGTTATTATAAAATATATAATCCTAAATATTGTTTTTTACGTTCATTCTTTTCTATAAGTAGTTTCTTTAATTTAATCATTTTTATATTTATAGCATATGTTAGTGGGAAAGAATCAAGAGGAATAACATTACAAAATGCAAGGAAAGGAATAACTCATTTGTGTATGCAATTACAGTATGTACACTTTTTCTGTAATATAATCAGTAAGTTTTGCATATTATACTTTATAAAATATTTAATGTATATTTTATTTTGTTACTAGATTAAATCAACATTGTATCGATACATCTATGAATTTTTATAAAATGGCATTAAATCGTCAGTTAACTCGTGGAAGAAAACAAGCGCATAATCATGCAGCTTGCGTTTATATTACTTGCCGTACAGAAGGCACTGCACGTATCCTTTATTTTCATAAAATAAACAACAATATTTTCCTTTCAATTTTCTTTTTCTTAAATTTATTTTTGTTAATTTATTTTCTAAATACAGAGTACCTAGTATAGATTGAAATCTTATTGAAACGTAAATTCTGTTTTTTATGACAAGTTTTTGAAACTGAAATATGTACTTAACTAATTAATTAGACATGCTTATCGATATCAGCGATGTTCTGCAAATTTGTGTTCATGAATTGGGACGCACGTATCTGAGGTTTACGCAAGCTCTTTGCATCAATATACCTTCAGTAGGTGAGCATTTTGTAAATTTGCACGTTACAAATTTTTATTCATGCATTACTTTCAATTAAGAATAGCTAATTTTTAAATATTGCTAAATGCACTATGTATAAATAATTTTTAATTTTTATAGAACAAAACAGTTTGATTTAGATTGATCTGTTTTATTCTTCAAATATAAATTTTCTTATTACACAAATTATTTTTATCACAAACAACAGTTGCTATTTATTACCTCTGGGAAAAAATTCTATTGATATTTTACAGTATCACATTAAACTTTACATTTTAAAGAATATAAAATTAAATAGTTAATTAAGAATAGTAAAAATTTGTTCATATTTGAAGTGTTTTGAATATTAAATATGACATTTGTACCTTTATATGCACATAGTTGTTTTTAGCGATAGTATGACATATTAATAAAAAGTCAGCTTATGTATATATTACTAATAATTAAGAAAATTGAAATACTTTATGATACATGAAAGTATAATGTAAGATGGCTATTTCTATATAAAATTTTTACATTTATGTAAATTTATTGCTTGTGTGGACATTACATATTTTCATATTTTTTACATCATAATGTCATGATTAATTTCTTTATTTTAAATAATACTAGAAATTTAAAATGCAAAATATAAAACTAAACTCTTTATTTATTAGTAACAAATTAATGACTTAAATTCAAATTAAAATTGTTTACTAAATATTTTAATATTGTTTTAAAAGACAATGATACAGTTAATATATTGACAGTTAATATATTTTTTAATGCCAATCTTAAACCGGTACAGAGATGCTCCCAAAATTTATTTATTCTTTTTGGCACCAGCCAGTCATACTAGTAGTAGGAAGGCATTATTTTGTACATTTTATTATTATTGATATTGTAATTTGTTGTACTTTTTTAAATAGTAATTATTATTCTGCAGTGTAGACTTTGGCGCCAGATTACTATGGCATTACTATTATTTAAAAAAAAAAAAAAAAAAAAAAAATAAGAATTATGGTTATATATAATTACTATATGCATACTTTATCATGAAATTATGCTAGAATTTTTTCTACTTTTTATATAGATTATAGTAAACTATAAAATTATATAAACATGATTGAAATATCGTAGAATGTCTATATAAAATATTAATTTTATATTGTATACAAAAATGGTATTTTGCTTTAAGGATCCACATTTAAATATTTAAATATTTCTTCTAATAATTTAGTAATCATCTCTATGTAATTATATATATTATAAAATCAACAAATCTAAAGAGAATAAGAAAGTAAAGAGGTAAAATGTATCTTTTTTTTCTTATTGATATAATATAAAAAATAAGATGACAATGTTAAAGTAGAAAACAAATGTCATTTTGCATAGGCAGTTTCAATTATGATACTATTCTAAAATTGTTTATAATTTTCCAATAAGTATATATTCTAAAATATATATATTCTAAAATATATGATATACGAATGCAAAATTAAATCAGTATTATTTATGTTCGTAAAAACAATATATTCTCCTTCATAAAATGACAATGTACATTGTTCATTTGAAGTTTTAAAGTATTTTAATTGAAAAAAAATTATAATTTATATATTAGTATTTCTTAATTGAGAATTACTTGAGATAACAATACATTTTCCAAAATTAATTGATCTTTGTTTATTCTTTTATATTTTTGTTTAACAATAATTTTAAAGATAATAAATCCTTTTAAATAGCACTTATTAACTTTCTCAATTTTCTATTAATTTAAAGATTGTTTTTACATCTTTTTCCTTTTCACGTTATCTAACAAGTATTTTATATATACTTCACTCATTGCATATTTACAAATAATTTTTCAAGTATTTAAATTATATAAAAAACA